ATGTCGGGAGTGGGGAGACGGGATTTGTTGGCCTGCAAAGTGTAGGACTCTTGGGCAACCCGGAGGTTGGCCTTGAGATCCTCGAGAACGGTCTGAAGTCGGTCGACACGTTCTTCGGCAGAGGGCACAACAGAAGGATCACGGATGATGGAGGGATCAAAAATGGGGTGATGGCCATGGACTGCAAAGAAGGGAGTCATGCCAGTGGAGGTGTTTTCCGAGTTGTTGTAAGTGAACTCGGCAAGGGGAAGGTGAAGGGTCCAGTCGTCTTGCAGGTAATTGCAATGGATACGCAAATACTGCTCGATGACCTGGTTGAGAACCTCGGTCGAACCGTCGGTCTCGGGGTGGAAGGCAGAAGAAAGGGAAATCTTCGTCTTCAGAAGCTCATTGAAGCGCCTCCAGAAGGCCGAAGTAAACTGAGTTCCTCGGTCCGAAACAATAGACCGGGGACAACCATGCAAGCGGAAGATGTGGGAGAGGAAGAGTTCGGCGGTTTGCTCGCCTGTAACCGTCTTCGTGGTGGGCACAAAGTGTGCTTGTTTGGACAGGCGGTCCTTAACCACGAAGATGGAGTCAAAGCCGTTCGAAGGTGGGAGATCCGTGATGAAGTCCATCGACAGGTCCCACCAACGTTCGGAAGGAACGGGGAGAGGGTGAAGTAAACCATAAGGGGAGTGACGGGACGGCTTGGCTCGCTGGCACGCTTCACAATTAGCAATGAAGCGACGCACAGACTTACGAAGCCGGGGCCAGTGAAAGTCCCGGGAGATGAGCTCAACGGTCTTGGCAAGACCAAAGTGACCAGCGGCAGCGGAGCAGTGACGTTGCTCAAACACTTTGAGCTGGAGCTCGGGGGAAGGGACAACGATCAGGTCTTTAAAGTAAAGGAGACCGTCACGGAAGGAGTAATCGCCATCAAGACGTTTGGCGTTGAAGTCAGAAAGAAGGGAACAAGAAAGGGTGGCAGCTCGAATCTCGGAAAGAAAATCGGGGTTCGAGCCGATAACGGTGATGCTGTCGAGAGAAATAGACTCGAACAGCTGAAGGAAGTTGGTGGAGTGGAGGGAGTCACCAGGCTTTATCTCAAAGTCAGAACGGCGACTGAGAGCATCGGCTTTGGTGTTGAGGCGACCAGGGCGGTGGTAAATGCGAAAAGCAAAATCAGAAAGGAATTGGGCCCACCGGAACTGGCGGCGAGAAAGTTGGGAAGCGGAAGTGAACCGGGTGAGGTTCTGGTGATCAGAGAAAACAAGAGTGGGATGATCGGGGTCGGCAGCCATCAAGTAATGACGCCAGGCAGTAAAGGAATCGACAATAGCAAGGAGCTCTTTGTCGTGGGTGTCATAATTCACCTCGGCGGGACGGAATTGCCGAGAGTGAAAAGCAACGGGGTGAAGAGCGCCGTCAGGGTCAAACTGGGAAAGGACGGCACCCAGAGCAAAGTCAGAAGCATCGGGCTCGATGACAGCGGGTTTGGAGAAATCAAAGTAACGAAGAATAGGTGCGGAAGTGAATGAACGTTTAAGAGAATCAAAAGCCTCTTGGGCCTCGGGAGACCAAGAGAAGGTGGAGGATTTGGTGGTGAGTGAAGTCAAAGGACGAGCAAGTGCGGAAAAGTCCTTGACGAAGCGGCGGTAAAAGTTTGCGAAACCAATAAAAACTTGGATGTCGCGAGCAGAAGAGGGAACAGGCCAAAGGGAAACGGCCTCGACCTTGGCAGGGTCCATTTTAATGCCATCGGCAGAAATGATCATGCCGAGAAAGTCAACTTCAGAAAGGTCAAAAGAACACTTGGCCGGATTGACCTTAAGAGAGTGTTCACGAAGGCGAGAAAGAACAAGCTTAACATGCTCCTCATGCTCCAGGGGATCTTTTGAGAAGATCAGGATGTCGTCAAGATAAATGACAACACAGACACCAAGGAGGTCCGAGAAGATGTCGTTCATAAAAAACTGAAAAGCAGCGGGGGCATTCGAAAGACCAAAGGGGATAACATTGTACTCGTAAGAGCCAGATTTGCAAACAAAAGCAGTCTTCCACTCATCGCCCTTCTTGACACGAACCAAGTGGTAAGCATCAGGAAGGTCAAGGTGTGAGAAGACGCGGGCAGAAGAAAGTTTATCCAGAAGATCCTGGAAGAGGGGAAGAGGGTAGCGGTTCTTCTTCGTGATGGCATTGAGGCCCCGGTAGTCGACGCAAAGGCGAAGACCACCATTGGGCTTCTTCACGAAGAAGCAGGGAGCACCAACGGGAGAAGAGGATTTGGAGATCCAACCACGTGCGAGGGCGTTGGTCAGATACTCCGAAAGAGCAGATTCCTCGGCCGGGGACAAAGGATAGACTTTCCCCGGCTTTGGCAAACGAGGTTCCTTTCCATCCTCGGTCCGTACAAACTCAATAGACAAGTCATACGGACGGTGAGGAGGCAAGGAAGAAGGAGGGTCAGACTTGAGGCTGAAAACGTCGCCAAACTCATTGTATTTGAGCGGGACACCTCGAGAGTCAACAGGGGTGCCAGACTCGGCATACACCTTCGTCGTGAGCACGGACCTTATCGACACCGTAGGATACGTCTCCGGCGAAGGAGGACGGATATCCATTTGGGCAGCGAAAATGTCGAGCTTGTCTTCCCGTGCAAGACGGAGAAGACTCGCCGCATTAACGAGCTCAATGTCGGGCGAAGATAAAGCCGTTGGCTCTTCAGAAAGCGAAGCAGAGTCAAGGCGGGAAGAAAGGGAAGGCGAAGTGCCAAAGGAGGGAACCGGTGTAAGGGAAGGACCGGAGGGAGGAGTCAAAGGCGAAGTGCCCGAAGGGGGAGGCGAATAGCCGGAAGGGGACGAAGTGTCCAAGGAGGAAGCAGAGACATCCGCGAGGATGTGTCCATCAGCAAGGCAAGAGGGATCGGAGAACGAAAGGGAGAGGGACTTCCAATTGACAACTGGATTATGCAAGCGCATCCAGGGAAGACCAAGAGTGATGGGAGTGGTGGAGAGTCGAGTCACAAGAAAAGAAATCGACTCGGTGTGGGAACCAATGGTCAACGTCACAGGAACGGTTTGGAAACGAATGAAACCGGCCGAAGAACCATCAGCAAGGGAAACGGAGTAGGGAGTAGAAAGAGGGATAAGAGAGAGTTTATGGAGATCCGCAAAGGCAGGATCAATGAGGGCAAGAGCGGTGCATCCATCATCAATAAAGACAGAAAGGGAGATGGAGACCGGGCCAGAAAGACTCATGACGACAAGGGTGGCCGGAAGAAGAAGCTTATCGTCCGATAATGACGAGTCAGAGGGGGAAGATGTTCGTATCGCCGAACAGACCACCTCGCTTACTTGCGAGGTGCTGCTCGGCTGTGGGCATTTCCCGAGTTCCGTTTGACCAGAACCGGGCACTGCTGAACATCGCGACTGCCGGGACAAGACTTTTCCCCGCAGTACAGGCAGAGACCCTGCTCACGACGTCGCTTTTTCTCGACGTCGGAGAGCTTAGCAGGGCGGACCGAGACAGAGTCAAGGTCCATGGGAGTGGGTGCAGAAGAGGAGGAAGAAGAAACATGCGCGGGAGAATGGTGGTGATGGGGAGCAGAGCGAGAAGAAGGAGGAGGAGGTTGGGAACGGGAGGAGATCTTGAGACGATGGAGGGCATCGTCGTACTCGACCGCTGCCTTGATCAACTCAGGCAGGGAAGCGGGAGCGGGGCGGAGACCGATGAGGTGGAACTTGACCTCAGACTTCAAACCCTCCTTGAAGAAGTGCATCTTGGTGGGTTCATCAGTCTGGACGCGGGCGGCGAGCTGGACGAAGCGGGTGGCGAAGGCTTGGCAGGACTTGAGCTGGACCAAGCGCTTGAGGTCGTTCAAGGCCTTATCTTGCGAGGAGGCCGTGTCCTCACCGAAGGTCGACTTGAGGGCAACTTCAAAATCCGCGAAGGAAGCCGGGAAGCGGTTGGCCATGTAGAAGGCGGCCTCGTACCACTTGAAGGCTTCACCGCGGAGGAAGGAGGTGGCGTACAGGACCTTCTGGCGCTCGGGCGCGAAGAAGGCAGGATCGGCGAGGAAAACCAGGTGGCACTGGGCGAGGAAGGCCGTCGTTTCATCGCGGGAACCTAGGAACTCCTTGGGCTTGTTGACCTGGTAGACCTGGCGGGGAGCGGCGGCGGGAGCTTGCAGATCTTGGATCTGACGATGGAGAGCAGCGTTCTGGGTCATGAGGGCGTTCATACGCTCCTCCATGCGCGCCAGATACGCGTTGAGGTCTGCAGGGGGTGCAGCAGGCTCAGCCATCGGATCGACGAGGGAAAGAGAGGCGAAAGAAGAAGAAAGGCCGGGAAGCCAAGAGGGAGCGTTCAAAATGATGTTAGAGTCCGAAGGGGACTCAACGGCAAAAGAAGAAGTGAGCTCGAAGTGAGCTCAGGGAAGGCAAGGGTAAAGTCCGAAGTGGACTCGGAGAGGGAGCGAGGGAAGCAAAGATCCGTTCAAGATAAGACTAGTCTCGAAATGAGACGTGAGGAACACTCAGAGAATAAAGTAGAAGGCACTTTATTTAGTCCTATTTTGAACGCTGAGGTTCGACTACACATCGCGGGGGTCAGGCTATTTATAGACAAGTCCGGACTTGGCAGCGAAGGGCGGCCAAGGGAGGGAAAAGTGGGCGATCGAGCAGGGCGAAGGGGGCGATGCACGAACGAGGGCCGAGAAGGACCACCGAGACAGGCAGAGAACCAAAGCGAGGGAGGCGCAAGCAAAAGCGAAGCACCTGGCAGGAGAAACGTGCAAAGGCGAAGCAATGTGACTCAACGTCCAAGAAGCGGATTGGTCAAGTATAAGGTTGGGGCAAATGCATGCGAGATGAACAAGAGATCGGGGCGGTCAGGCAGGTCATGAGTCACCGGTGGTGGGACACATGACCGGCAGCCGAATTGCAACCAATCGCAGCAAGGCGCGTGCACAAACAAACCGGCGCGTGCGAAGAAGACAAAGGAAGCGGAGCAGCGCGGGGAAACGGAAGTGCGGAAGGAGCGGAAATGGCAGGCAAAAGGCGGAAAATTGGAGGGGAACTGCAAAGCTACACACAAACAAACAGAAAGGCAAAAGAACAGCCAAGTGTGCAGTCAAAGTGGAGAACAAGCAGAAGCTATCCCTAACAGCACGTCGAGTTGGCGTCGATGGCAGAGCGAGGACCAAGAATGAAGTATGCGGTTGCAAACAGCGTGCTCACGGCTATGCTTCTGGAGCCGACGTATGCCAGCGCAAAGACGACAATCGCCTTTACGACTTTGGTTCTGAACAAGTTGTGGCACCACATGACTTCAAAGTCGTCGACAATGAATCGACCACCGATGCGGCCGAGGAGGACGCATATGGCAACAAGAGCTGGTTCGAAAGCAGATGCCGGATCCTTCATTGATTCTGGGAATGCTTTGTCCTTTTCCCTGTGTTTTTTTTCTTGCTTGGAGTCCCACTCTCGTCAAAGAGATGGTTGTATCGAGGATTGGACCGCATGAGACCCACGGTGAAGTTCATCGTCGAGACCGGGTCCGTGGGGTTGATGTCGAGTTCGAGGTCGTTGTCGAGTTGGCGCGGTGGTGGTGATGCTGGTGGTAGAGGCTGGGTTGGCACAGTCAGTGATTGTGTGGATGGTTTTGGGTCTGGTGAGTGGTCGGCGCTCCATGAAATGAAGAGGATGTTTGGAGGCATGAAGAGATCACACGATACGCCTTCGGAGCAGAGGGATTGTTGGATATAGGCCACACACTCATTGATGTCGTATGCGGGGCATCCTGCCACCATCAATGGTACCTCAAAGTACATATAGAGGCCATTGCTGGCTCGCATGGTCATTTCGTGGCAGCACAGCTCAAGGATCTCATGGTATCGCCGTCGCCTGAGTTCGATGCCGGTGTCGTGAAAGCCTCTGAGACGCTGGGCGAAGTTCATGTTCTGGAGCGACCGCTGGTAGCAGGTGTCGAGAATTAATTCCTTTCGAGATCGTCGTACACGAACCGGTTGAGGGTCCTGTCCATGGCGATGATCTTGTAGTTCCTAATGTTCCCGAGCTTGCCGAGGCGATGCATGATGTAAGGGAAGACGTCTCTGAGGGTGTAGTTCTGGCCGTGGGCATCGCCATTCGGACCAAGTAGCTCGTTCATCAGGGATAGGATCGATACGGTACCGCTGGCACCCGATCGTTTGTTGACCAGCATCGCAACCCGGAACGGGGGTGACGGGTGATGGGCAACCAGTTCATTACGATTCCGGATGTCCTTGCCGAGTATGTGAGTGTACCGCTGATCGCCGATTCTGTAGGTCAGGGATACGTTGTTGCCGTGATCGAGGGAGATGTGTGATTTGTCTGGATGGTCGCTCGGGTCGATGGTGCGGTGCGAGATGTATTCAAAGTCGTGGTGATGCATGGGGTCATGGTAGTCGGTGAAGTGAAAGAGTGTTTCGGACCGTTGGGGCATGGTTGGGTTCCAAGAGCTTCCTTGCCTTGCTCGATGAATGGTGATAATTTTTTTGTTCAGTAGACACAGCCAATCCAAAGACAATGGAAACAACAACGACGGATGACATTACCAATGCCAATATCGAATGGCTTCTTGACATTTTGAGGCAGTGTCTGATCGCCAAATTTGGAGACAACCCCCCTTCAACATCGACCACTTGAGTGGAAGAGGAATGTTTTTTTCTGATGAATATGGTCAGGAGCATAAGTCGTCCATGTCGCAAAGGAAATACGATCCTGTCGAGTCACAAATCGATGAAATCATTCAAAAGACTCGAGCGTGCTTGAAGGCGCTACCACCGAACGTTCGAGAGGAACTTGACAATGCTTTGGCCAACCTCAGAGCACACCAGGAAGGCGGAATGGAGTTGAACAAAGCGATTTCCGATGAAATAGTCCCGAGGGTTCAGTTGAAGGGTGCTGGTGAAGGTGATTCAGGAAGCGGTAGTGGAAGCTCGGAAGGGTCAGATGTCCAGGCGACGAGTTCTGAATTAAAGGTAGGGAGAACCGCTCGGCTCCCCGATTCCCCAATAGGTGATGAACGTATCACTCCTACCAGCGATATAGTGTCTATGTATGAGGTGTCAAATGCAGCAGCGTCCGTTGATCCTGACTTCACATCACCAGTGTCGGGTGAAACTGAATCTCAAGTCCCTGGATCAAATGATGACGATCAGACAAGTGAACCAGCTAGTTTAAGGTCGTCAACCTCTACTGTTCGGCGGGCACCCGTAACACCGCAATCCGGAGACACAACACCCACTCAGGATAAAATCAAGCCGGTGACGCCAACCACACCTATCGACACAAGTTTACTAGATGATGACCTGGATTACAGCCCACCGTACACTCGAGAGAAATTGAAAAATAATAGGTTACAACCGATAAACACTGTAACGGAAATAGCGGGGGAGAGTCCTCGAGATCTTATTGATCAACCGAATGACACTTTACTCAACATGGTAGACTGGTGGGCTTATTATATCGACACTGTGATTTCCGAATACTCTGATGCTCTAAAAAATTCATCCAACGATGGACATACCACCGTCTCCGTGGAAGAGTGGAATGAATTCCAAACGTGGTGTGTCGACCCATTGATCGATTTTATTGACTGGCAATTCAAGTCCGGAAGAGTCGAAGAGGGGCGTGATAAGGCGAAACATTTCGTATCGACTCTGAAAATAATTTCCCAGGGTCTGGACTCTGTGGACCAAGCGTTTTCGACATACCTTTCGAGTTACCAAAGTTCCCCGAGTAATATCAAGTCGAGCAAGCTCCTTCCGAAGTGGGAGAAGAATTACTTTGAGGACGATGAGGACAGGGAACTAATGAACGTCTACGAAGAACAGGATGATATATTCGATAGTACCAGCGAATCGTACCTATGGCCATGAATTTCTGGCCCAAAAAAATCACACTCTGATGTCAAACTGACCGACAAATGGACCAATCGATGCACGCTTCGACCGCTGAGATCGAGAGGGTGTATGAACACTGTCGCTTGTGGAATGTGTATCTATGGAGCTCTATGCTATCCAAAAGCAGTAAAGTCAAGCGGAATCAAAATCAACAGCGGAGTGGTGAGTGGATTCAAGCACTTCTCGCAGATGACATGTCGACCACTCCAACGGCGACATCACCGAAGGTTAATCGGACGGCTAAGAAAGGTACGCTCAGATTCCAGAAAGCAAAAACAGCTATTGACATATTGAATACGGTGTATCAGCTTGTTTCTGCTATCGGAGAAGCGAGTGAATGCATTAGGGATGTCGTGGAGGACCAAACTAACGATTGCCTCAAACACGGAGAGGAGCGTGTGCGTCGCTTATATACCGAACTACGCGCTCATTGTAAACGTATCCATGAAAGCATATCAGTCGGTGAAAGTGATACTGCGAAGAGTGCCGATGGCATAGAGAAGATTGTTGAAAATTTAGCGCGCTTACCAAATGACGATGGAAACACCGGGTGGCAGACACTGTATCCATTCAGTATGCTTCGTAACATTGTTGACACGATCGCTAGACTGAGTGACAAGTCGTCGTGGGATAGAATGACGATATTTAGAATACAACTAAATGAGCTCTATCACTGGTGGGTTGCATTTTCGTATGTCGCTTTTCTGGTGGTTAACTTTTACGTCAGACCTCGGATTACTGAGGAGGCACGCACAGCAACGAGCTCACACGAAGCCCTCACAACGACTGCCACACGGAAGCTGACTATGGCAGATATATACAAGCCAGAGATTGTCACAAACTACCTAGAGTCGGTGGTGGTTAAACAAGGCAAGAGTAGTGTCAATGGACAATCTATAAAGCAATGGGGGTTGTTTGTTATCCGGGCGTTTGGTGAGGCTTTTGGTGGTCCAAAGTCGAACCGAGCGCCGAGTGAAATAGTCGATGGTATTTCAAAAATCAAGACGCAGACTGAATGGTTGAGTGTCATCCTCTTGAACGTCGAGGACCGTGGTGTCATTACCGGGTCTGATGCGTGGAGTAGTGTGAGCGACGGACTCTTTGGCAACGCCGTATCAGCAGTCCCATTTACAGCCAATCCAATAAAAAACGGGACACCCAGGTTTTGACCATTGATCGAATATTTTGTTACCCAAAACCATCGCGCGCTGGCCATGACCATTCGCCACACATCCGACTTTCGCACCGCCGCATTGCGATGCTACGCCCTCATCCATAGCCTGCGTAAGGTCGCCTCCATATTCAGTGTATCCAAGAGCACCATCCATCGATGGCACCGAGGATGCAAGCTGGATGACCCATCCCGGGTCCCAGCTCGCAGATCCACTTTCTTCGAGCAGGCATGTCCAGTCATTCGCACCCTGATTGAACAGGACCCGTTCCAGACTGGTCCTGTGCTGCGATGCAAGCTCGAGTCCATCCTCCAGAGGAAAGTTTCACTCTCGCTCTGCCACACTGCCATCCAGCGAGCAGGTCTCTCACACAAGAGGGCAACACACCTCTACAAGTCCAAGCGACTGGATGAGCGAGTAGCACAGTTCAGGGACCAGGTCCGCTCCATCGACCTGCGGCGATTCGTTTTTGTCGATGAGACAGGGATCAGGAGATCCATTTTCCCTCTCTACGGATACTCACCGAAGGGTGCTCCGCTTCGCCAGCGCAATCACATGAAACACAAGTCTGTCTCGGCTGCATTTGCCATCAATCACTCTGGTGTGCTGCATCGCATGTACATCCCCACATCATTCAAGACACACTCGATGGTCGAGTTCTTTGAGCGAGCGAGCTTCCCAGACGACTCTGTGATTGTGATGGACAATGTCAGCATGCACAAGACAAGGGCTGTCCTGGACTGCATCGAGCACCGAGGATGGTCAGTGATCTTCACCCCACCTGCCTCGCCCGACTTCAATCCCATCGAGAACTTCTTTGGGATTGTGAAGCATCAGTACAGGAAGGCAGCAGCGCTGAATGCGTCTGAGGGGTTCAAGATCGGGATGGTGACCCTGTTCGAGTCCGCCGTGCGGAGGGTGCTTCCAGATGTCTTCCCACCGCTGATTGAGCGCGCGATGCGTTTCTGGGCGTGAATCATACCATCGAAAAAGTGCGTCAAAATCACCCTTGGTTTTTTCTTGCCTATAGGTAGAATCAACGGGGTGTCGAAATCGCGACAGATGGCTCCCCGCAAGAAAAAATCCCCGCCTGACCCAAATCCAGATCCTGGACAACCCAGTGACGCACCTGCTGCCAAAAAACCCGTCATCAAATCATGTCGTGCCTGTGGTTTGACCAACCACGTCAAGCCATTCACCAAGAAATGCAAGGCCCGAACCGAGTTGGGCCCCCCTTCTGACTCGGCGTCTGCCTTTGGCGCCGTTTGCCAAGCACCCCCTCCAGACGAGTCCAGTGAAGACATCGCCGTTCCGGCCCTCGTGGTCGAGATGCCTGCACCAAAAGTCCCTGTATGTACCACATGTGGGGAAGAGGGTCATGCCAGAAGCAGCAGCTCGTTGTGTTCAAAAAAGAACCCCCTCTGGAGCTCTACCGAGCCCGACTGTGGTCCAAACGAGTATGCCAAGGCCGAGTACTCGATCATCAAGTGCACTCTTGACGCCATCATCAAGAACGGCGCCTTGCACGACAAGATTGAGGAGACTGTCCGGGCCATGACACACGTGCAGTACGAAGCATCTCGGCTCCTGGAGCTGCATCTCAGGCGATGCTTGGACGAGGGCATCACCATCCCCACTGTGTCGTCGAGTGACCCTTCGTTCGTTCGAAAGTGTTTCAACATGGTGCATACCGGAGCTACAGATGTCAAGAATGGCACGACCCAAGAAGACAAGCACCTCCTCGACACCTATGAGCTGTATCGAAGTACATGGAGTGGATCGTGTGCCCTACCTCCTGTAACCCTCCCAAAGGGCACTGGTTCACAGGTCCTCACATTGGCTGTCAAGACCTATGCAGTCAACTGCGAGACCCACATTCTCGATCGATATTGGTCCCTTCTACGCCGATTCTGCAATCTGGCCCTGATTGCTCCCAAGGATGTCAAGCGACATACACACGTCGATGAGTGTATGAAGCTGATGGAGAATCCCCTCTCCGATACACTCCTCGGTGATCTGAGGAAATCCTTCGCCCACCATGCCGACCAGCTCTACATCTTTCGCTACAAAAGCCAACAGGACCTGTACAAAGTCGTACCAGTATTGGCCAGTGAAGTCTCTCGGCTGACCCACCGAAAGGAGACACTGTTCGTGGCGACCATTCGAAACAGAATCATCCCCAGGCTCGTGAGGGATACCGATGATCTGAAAGGAGAGTGTGGACGACTGAACGAGGAGATGTGTCGCGCGATCGAACGAAGGCAGTCGGATCAATACAACGCACTCCACAAACGGCACGAGGAGGTGGAGAAGCAGGTCACCGTCAACACGAAGCGAATCAAGCGATTGACCGACCGACTTGCTCA